GCAACACTTTTCATTTAAGAAAAATATGTGCTTGTTCCTTTCAAGTCCCGGAGCAGATATCTCCACTGGCTGTGGAAAACACCCATGATGGAATAGAACAGGAATGAGGATTGGGTTCTGTCTTTCAGAACAAATGTTCTGTTTTTATTCCTGCCCCTCTCCTCAGCCAATCCATTCACTGCTCTGCTATCAACCGTGGCACAGCCCAGAGACTCTCATTTACTGTAGCAAATGAGCCAATGAATCTAACGTGTCATAATCCCAAAGTCAAGGAAAAAACATGGGGCTGAATCTTCCACCAGAGTAAATCTGCATAGCAGGGGTAAATCCTCTCTTCAGTTTTAATTAGTATCAACTAAGGACATGACCAAATTATTCTAGATTGTACCACCAAAGTTGTATTGTGGGATTTATACAGATTTTATTCATATGTATTGATAGCTTGATTCTTACCTTGAGTATGTAGGCAAATAAAACTTTCTATATAAGGGCAGATCTGACTACCATACCCATTCCAGTGTCTTTGTCCCAGTCATCTGGAAATGTCCCAAGATATTCACTGCTCTCTGCTAGCCTCTCCACCTGAAGGCAGTAGAAACAACATGAGTCATCACAGCTGGACAAATGCCTCCACAGACTCTTTCTATCAAACAAACTCTCATGGATGCAGTCAGGAGAATCTTGGACTGAATGTGAAAAAGGTTGTAATAAAAACTCAAGGCAGGGGGAAAGAAGAACTATTTTCTTTGAAAGATTTAGTCCTCTGGTTAAGACTGCAGAATTGTCATCCTGTCCCTCTTCTGATTTGGATACTGCACATTCTTTACATCCTGGAGCCGTATTGCAGCACATACAAATATGCTAGTTTTCTCTGTGAGACTTTGCTGTAGTTGCTTCTTGTCTTCAGGCCAGCTACTGTATGCAATCAGGCTGCATTGAGGATACAAGGTATTTTTAAAAAGGGAGAACCTAAAAATCTATTCAAAGTCCCTGCTAATTATCTCCTCCACACTTGTCTTACAGCTGCAATAATTTCCTGGACTCATTACTATGGAAGCATTTTGTGGCAATATTATTCAGTCCAGCCGTTACCAGTGTTGAGTCTTCATTCTCTTGTAAATGATACATCATCTCCATTTTCACACACTTAAGAAAGTGATTCTATTAATATGATTACACTTTAGATGTTTCCTAACTAAGGGTGCCTGTCACAGCATCTGCACATCCCAGGAGAAAAACACTGACTGATTTTTCTCTCTTATTCACTGGTGTAATCTGCTTTAACTCCATTGATTTTGTTCTACATTCAGGGGGAGGAGTTGTGTGGAGAAGGAATGAGAAGATGAGGAGTGTAAGAGTATCTGTACCTCATCAGACCAAGAGCTACACCAGTGTCCTGCAGGTGTGGTTGGTAGCAGAAACCTAGCCATCTTTTCCCTGCATATTGTTTCAGTTTCTGGTGGATACTTTGAAAACTTGTTGTTTTGAAAGATGCATTTTTTTGCTGTTGTTGTATTTGATAGCTGTAGTTAGACAATTCTTTCACTGAGCCTGTTCAATTTCTTTTTGAGCCAGTCTCTCCATCATAGTGGCTTGCTTTTTCCCTAAGCATTATCTGTCATTCATTAGCATTGGATTTCAGCTTCTTATTCAGACCATTTAGAAATACGTTGACTAGCACAGATGCAGCAAGACTCCTCTGGTGGCCTCTCCATGAGAAAGCAGATCATCTATTATTTGGTTTGGTTTCTTATCTTTTGACAGCTAATTCAAGACAGGACATTCACAGCCATTCCAAGACAGCTTAGTTACTCTAAATGTCTTCGGAAACTTGCCTCATCAAAAAGTTTTTGGTAACTGAAATACACTGTATTAACTGGACTGCCGTTATACGTGTACCACTGAATCCTCCATGACACTTGATTACCTTCACAAAAAGGGCTGTTTTTTATATACCTAATTTACCTATGTCTGTAAAATTCTATTATTTTTTTGTAACTTCATCCAATTTTCCTGCTACAAATTGTAAATACCTGTTTATGGCTTTCTAGGAAAAAAAAATCACAGGTCTGGATTATGTTTTTCAGCAACCTAAAATACCTTCTTTTTAATTTATCTTGGGCTTTTTCAGAATTATCTAAGGAAATAAAATTAAAATGTAAAAATTGTCAGTTTTAAAACATTTTTAATATCAAAATACCTCACTGGATAATGGGAAAGAAATGGCTCATTCGCCACACTTGATGAATGCACACAGAGTAGGATTTTAAAAAAGACATTCATTGATATCTGTAGTACAAGTAACAGTGATAAACCTATCTCTCTGCCATTCAGTTTCACCAGTACTGACTGAGGTGAAAGTCAAATAGAGAAGAGAAAGGAAGTAATAGAAGGAAACATCAGCCTTTTTTCTTATTTTGTTTCTAAGATTTCCACTCTTAACCTATTTTCTGTCCCCATATAAGAAATTTCTACATCTTGGCTACTAGAAACTCAGAAAACATACAGGGTTGTAGAAATTAGAGCAGCATGTTGTGAGGTTCTTGAAATGTCAAATATTTCAGATGTTGTAAACAGTTTAGAAGCCATCTTTAACAGGAGAGTAAACAGAAACTTGATTCTTTTTGCTTAACTCCATGCTCTGAGCAAGTGGCCAAGAAGAGCAAGAGCATCTCAAGGGACTAAAGCAGAAGTCCCAAGCCACGCTAACATTGAGGCGTTGCACAGTGCTTCGTAAAAGGCCTTTTCACACTGCAGCGTCCATTGCCCTTGCAAGCATGGAGGGTTTGCAGTGTCACCGTCCTTAGTGCATAGCATAGGCCTAAGGCAGAAACTTTATTTTCAGGATCTGTCTTGAAAAGTAAAGAAAAGCAAAACTGGTTTAGGCAAGGGGAAGGTGAGCTTCAATACTGCTTTGCTTCAGAACTACTTTCTTTCTCTACTCTCTCTTTGACCCCTCTGTAGCTGTTGCCATTTTCCCCTCAGCCACAGCCTGAGTATCTCATTCTGATTGTTTATACCCTAAAGCTAAAATGCAAACCCTGACCTCCATTCCCTGTTCACCTCCCACCTCTCCTGGCATTTCTTCATTTTTGCTTAAGTCTGTACAAATTATAGATGCTCTATCCACGTATTCCTCCAGGTCTACCTCAGTGCCCCTCCATCCCTCCCCCTTTGAATGTCGCAAGTGGCTCCTCTTCTTTTACTTCCTTTCTGCTGCTTCTATGCTCAAGGGACTCTCTGGTCTCTTCTCCTTTCTTATCCACTGTTGTAATTGTATTTTTGCAGCCTGTCAGTTATGCCAGTTTCAATGAATTGTTGTTTGCTATACCAAACTCCACCTGCTGTCTTTTGCACTTTATAAAACCTATCAAAACTGCACAGAACCGACACTCACCGATTCCCGAAAGCCCCACAGACGATAAAGTAGGAAGCTTTAAATAGGCAATAATAGCTGGAGTTTAAAAATATTTACTGAATTCTATTCATTAAGATGATAGAGACATGGGGGTTGTGGGTGGCAAAAGCCAAACAGTAGAGGGTAAAGATAGAGGCTGATTTATCAGGCTGTGCATGAGGTAATGAATGCCACATTTGACCTCCTTTTTCTACCAGTCATACTGTCAGATACCAGCTCTGTATAATCTACCTAATGCTGGTCTGCACTGTGTTCATTCCTGTCCCTGTATTCCCTGCAGCTCAAGCAGGATGCAGCCCTTGGTGAGCCGCACACACTCAAAACCAGGGCTGGAGCTATCTGGAAAACATTTCTTGTGGCTGGAAGTTGTATTTGAACATTCATGTGTAAACCTGCATTGTTCAGGATGGATCATGGTGGCTAAAATCCCACTAAACTGAGTCTGTAAGCTTAATTTTTGAGGAGAGGGAAGTACTGCAGGGAAGAGAGAAATACAAACACACAATATTTTCATCTATAATTGTAATCCTGAGAAAGGAAGTCTGGATAGAGACTGGTCCAAAGCTCATTGTGTCTGATGGGCTCTAGGGGCAAGCCTTTACATGATCATTGCGGTTACACTGGTTCCTCTTCTTACAGCTTAATTTGTTATGATATAGAAGCACCCTTGTCCTCATCAAGGGCTGTCCTCCATGCAGTCTTGAGGGACTTGGACCCACGCAGACCTTAAATACAGGCAGCACCGCTCCCCAGAGATTGCCACACAAAGAAACATTCTCTTGAATCTGCAAGAGCTTTTGTCCTTAGAGAATAAAATAGAGTCATAAAATCAACATTAATCCTGCATTGCTCCATTCCATTCCCAGCAGAGAAGTTCCAGTGAGTTATAGTGCAAAGCCATTTTCATTTTATCATATTTAAATATCTGTCAGAATGTTGTAAAGAAAAAAAATGTATTTCTTTTCTGGCCAGAAAAAAAAAAAGAGTTAATAATTTACAGGGACTTAACAGAGACTATTCCACCTGGCATATTAATTGAAAGAACATGAGGCATTCTAACCACAGCAGTATTATCCTAGCTTTACTGCTCTCTAAGAGAAGAGGCTTAAGCAATTCCTAAAAATAGTGGCATAGAAACAGTTCAGAAACTGTGTTTAGAAATTCCAAACACTCGCACCCCTATCCACAAAAAGGGGAGTCTTTCACTGCCCCTCTTCTCCCTCTGGGCTCTGCAAATGGCTGCATAGGCCAGATACAGTAGTACTGCTCTTAAGCCGTATAACCAGTATATAGTAGCTCTGGTTTGACTTAGAGTTGGCGAGGGAAGAGGGTTGCTCCACTGCACTGCTTAATGCAGAGAGAAGAGCATCTCCCCTTATTCACTCTGCTGGCCCCTGGGGCATCCTGAGACAGTGCAGCAGCTGCTCCATCTCTTTAGTGGTCATCTTCACTGGAAAACACTGGGACTGCCTCAGCAGGTAAAGTTATGATTAGCATTATTGTGGCTGAGAATTAGCAAGCCTGGTAAATCCCCAGTAAGTTAGCACATGAAGGTGACGTGCTTCTTGCTGCATAGTGGTGTTAAATGGAGATGGGTTGTTCTACCCTTCTTTTAATTGAATGCCGGTCTTCCACAGTAGATATCACAAGCATCTATACTGACTGTTTTCCCTTCCATGAACTGACAACAGATCTTTAAGGGGTGCTGGACAGCCCCAGAGATGATTACAGAGCAGCTCAGAAGTTAAATGGGTTGTTCAGGTGACTTTTCAAGGGTTACTGGCTCCATTTCACTTACAAACCCTGCCATACCACAGTGAAGTTGCTCCAAGTCACTGAATACTAAGAAAGAGACATTGTTTTATCTAAAATATATCTGTAGTTCTCCTCCTGCAACACTCTCTCCAGTCTCTGGCATAGGTGCCGATAATAAACTCTGCAAAGCAAGTATCGGGGTTTGAAAGAGAAAGGGAATGAAAGGAATTGAACCTCTGACAGTTACTTGTTCCCAGAGCGATTTGCATTTGTTTGCAGTGCTGGGAACAAGGCGGTAAGATCCAGTAAAGTCACCAAATACACTGTAACCCCCGAGTCAATTTTCTGTGGAGAATATTAAGGATTAGCTATGCTTTTTCAACTTCCTAGTGCTTGATATTTTCATCCCTGTCTTCTCTTTTTGAGGCTGTTTTTTTTTTGTTTTGCTTTGGTTTTCTAGATGACCTTTAATTTCTAACGAATTCCCTGAATAACAGTCATAATTATTGCAAAATCCTGGTTTCCCATTTGACAAGTAGTACAAAACAAAGCTGGACACATGGAGATCAGCACGTTGACCAGCACACTGAATACTGTTGAGACTTTAATCTCAGCAGCTCTCACAAGCCTTCATAAATATACAGTCGCTATGTGACCCCACAGCTTTCAGTGTCTCTGTAGCAAACCCACAGCCTACAAAGAAACATGCATCTGTTAAGCAAAATGAAGCCACCTTCTTTCACACCTCAAACATGCCTGCAAATGCCCACTTTCTTTTAAAGGGATTTTAGAGACAGAAATCTGTGTATCTCTAGGTTAAAAATCTAATTTGGTTGAAATGAAATAAAGAGCAAAATGTCCCCTGGGCAAAGTACCCTGTAATATATCAGTTTCTTGCAGTTTGCAAGTTCACCTGGGTGAAAAGACTAGTCCTGCTGTTCTGATTGCTTCTCTTCTGACCTGCAGAAGAGCAGAAGTGGTGTGATGGTGTGACAAGCCTTAACCCCATGGCAGAGAAGGAAGAAGTGAAGTACTGACAGCAATGCAGGAAGCACAGAAACCCTCCAGCCCTTGCTGCTGGACACCTTGGAGAGAACAGGGTGACAAGGACTCTTTGTCCCTTGTGTTCTCCAGGAATGACGTCCTAACAGAGTCCAGCTCACTGGAGACTTCCCACAGGTGAAAGTGGGGCAGCCTTCTTTCCTTCCCTATTTTTCAATGTCTGTTGGGGCAGCTGAAGTACAAAGCTTCACCTTTTCCCTCTCAGTCTCACTAATGTGACCCAGGGAGGCTGCCACATCCTTCCTGCCTAAGCCTTGGTCTCTTCTGCGGCTCTCAGGGGCTTTCACAGTCCAACATTGCCACTATGGTGTCTCATCCCTCACAGCTAACCATGTTCTGCCCCAGTGTTAACATTTGTTGCTTCTAAACCCTGAGGTTCCTAGCAGCAAGAATAATACTTTCTCTGGGAAGGGCCCTGACTCCATCTCGGTACAGCCTGCAGCTTCCACCCCAGTGGTGGCATGGACCTTGGTGCCTGCCCGTGCCACGGAGCACCAGAGCAAAGGGAACCTATGCATTAGAGATACTTGATCCAGGCAGGCAAAACACGCTGAACAAGGTGAGGGGGATCAGAATGAACACTGTCATTCTGTCTCCTCTTCTTCTTACCTTGTTCTAGCCTGCTCATCTTTCAGGATGTTGCATTATAAAAACAAATACCTGGAAGCTCAGCATGAAACACATCACCTTTCTGGTGTACGTGATCGCTAGCACAGTCCCAGAGGTGGCTGTTGAAATAGAAATTTTCTCTGACAGATCTGGTCTGCTTTATCCTCTTATTTTTCCTCTAGGGAACAATAGCTCATGCATTAGGTTTTAATTGTCCCCCATAAAATTTTCCCCATAAGAACACCACTGTTTCTTGCTCCAGACTTGGTCTTTCTGCACTTAGGTTTTTCCTCCCTTGCAAATGAGATCCAGTGAGCACTGCAAAGAGAAGCAAAGGGGACTACTGTTAGACTTCATCCTAACAATAAACAGAAAAATGGGGAATATGCCAAAGGGAACAACCTCAAATTGTCTGAATTGACCACACTGCCTAAAACTCATTTTTAGGAAGGTCTGTCGTCTGAGGTCCAGCTGAGTTCACATACTGCAATTCACAGAACTAGTGTCATTAGAGGAAAGAACTCCTGCTCTGCCGAAGATCAAGTGTGAGCCAGCAAATTGCTGTCCTCGTGAGCTCCTGAGGGACAGGCTTCAAGCAACCACTTTGGGTGGTTTATTGGGCTTCTACTCTGAGGTAGAATGACAGTGATAAAGAATTTACAGTTATTGGTTTGGAGGATTTTTTTATCACTGGAACAGTTTCTCTGCTTGAGTCTTGCACAATGTTGTTTCCAAATCCTGTTGTAATTGCTATTGGGTGCTGAGATTGGAGTTTGATTTATTTAAGGAAAAAAGTAACTCCTGTATGTGACCCCCAGAAATACTATGTCAAGGTTTCTCTTTTAGTTTTTACAGTCTCTGTTTTACTTTAAATTTCAGGGTGTTCATTTCTAACGCATAGCTCTCTCTTTGTGATTACTTTAGCTCCTCCACCAAGCAAAACTGCAATTTAGGAGGACACAGACAAAAGCAGCACAGAGAAGGCATTTAAAAAATCCTTTTTTCTCTCTATTAGAATACATACTTCTAAAATGTAGGCAGTGGTTTTGCTTTTTCTTTTTTAATATAAGATTGAGTCGTAATTTTGTAAAACTCCAAATTCAGGCGGAAATTCAGGTTAGCTCTTTTAAGACACATGACAAGATTGAAAACAACTGCTCACTGAAGCTCAGTTTGCTGCCAAAATGCTGCCTTATGACAAATGCATCGTCTTCTAAAACCATTAATCTGGCTTATATAAAAATACTCTATAACACTTCTTTAGAGTCTCAAAAACTAACTTCACTGTTTTTTTGCAGGGAGAACATTTAGGAATCACAAGAAAGCCATCAAATAAGGCAATCAAGACTCAGCTTCTTAAAGTTAGAAAAATGACAAAATTGTTTTCAAGACTTGAAAGCTTCTGAGCTAATGGAGAAAATGCTGCAAAAAAGTGTACATGGAGCAAAAAGATGAAGGAGTAAAGAATAGAGTCTCCTTTAGCAGCCCCAACTCCCCCTCCTCGGTCTCCTGGAGAGCTGTCACTTGTGTGGAGCCAAGAGATAGATTTGGATCAGTTCCTGCCACAGAGCTGGGGAGAGGTGGGATGTCCCAGAAAACCCAGTTTATGGATCTTGCTGCTGCTGGGCCTGGGAGAGGTGGGACCATTCCCTGTAGCTGTGTCTCCACACATCCAAAACCTACCTCAGCCAGAAATGTCATACACAAGGAGGGCACAGCAAACAGCTTGTCACCCCCTCCGGCTTCTCCCAGATTTTGTTATCATGGGAATGCACACGCTCAAGCACTGATATTTAGCTTCCTCCCTCCAAGCAGAAAGATGTGCTGCAACCTCCTCCCTCCCTCCCATTCTAGCTCTACATCAAGTCAGTAGCAAGCCCCTGAGAGTCATCCCCTTTCCCAAAAGAAACAACAGCTTCTCCCAAGCAGATGAGCACAAAAACTCCCATTTGAATTGTTACAATGCAAGAACGAAATAGTCTTATTCACCCTCCACCCTTTTCCTACAAAAGCTCTTACGGAAAGTCTAATGAGGGTCCCACTTTCCTTCCATATCTTTAGGAGTGACACCTTCTCTTTTGCTCCAAGGTTATTTATGGTGAAAACAAAGACTTCTGCTTCCCTCTGAGTTCCAGCGGGACTCAGGAGGAGATTATGCAGCTATTCCCTGGGATATAGCAGGCCTCTGGAAAGTTCTTGCAGGCACTCTGTGGGATCCAGCATCGAGGTTCCTCAGTTTAATGAATTACTGCCCAACATGTGAGTCATAATAACTAACCGGTTCACGGTCTTAGGACAAAACAAGCTGGAAAATCCCTGCAAAAATTCCTGTAAAATTCCTGTGGGTGACTTTGTGGGATCCAACATCAAGGTTCTTCAGTTTAATAAATTACTGTCCAACACCTGAGTCATAGTAATTAATCATTTTACCTTCTAAGGACATAACAATTGAGGGGTAAATCACAGTATCAAGGAAAGAGGTTTAAACCGATATATTTTACTTTATATTTGCTGTGGAAATTTCCTACCACAGATCTGTTAAAGGCAGATAGTCACTGCTAAAGGCAGTAACTCGTTAAACTGTAGACTCAGTCATGCATTTGAGTATGAAGTGTGGTGGGATTTGATCTTCTCAGTCCATATGTGGACATTAAACAACACCCACTGGAAAACCCATCATCTGCAACCTGGAATGGGTTCTGCACAACATCTTCCTCCTCATGCGTGGAAGTGATCCCTCCCATCCAGCACATGCTTTGAGGCACATGTGGGGTACAGCATATGCTTTCCATGCTATAAGTCCTGTCCCTGAAAGGAAACTTCTCTTGAACAAATCCCCCAAAGGAAATTTTGAGGAGAAGGTGGCCCTAGGCTTGCGCTCAGCTTTGTCTTGGTAAGCAGCAAAGCTGGAGCAATCACAATCAGACTTCACTTTGCAAATGAACAGCCTGCTGAACAGCTTTGCAAATGACTCGGCTGGCTTGAGCAAGTCTACTTCTAATGTCAAGAGGAGACCCACCGCACACTTACACTACATGTGGACGCATATGACTTCATGAACTACATCTGCCAGATAAATATGAGTGTCTGCTCTGAATCAGGCACTCTCCTGTACATCAGTGCCAACAACGGATTGCTCGTTTCATGTGCCTCTGATTTCACCACTACTGATAGCAACAGATACCAGAAAATTAGGTGTGGTTTAAACAGACAGTCAGTCCTAGAAACTGTAGCTCTCCAACTATTTCAGCTACTGAGCTTTTTGGAATGGCTCGAGCTGTAATTAAGTGTTCAATGCTCTTGCATTTTTTATGATATGTCGATGCAGTTTTTCAGTGTCCTTGCTAATTTGCCAGTGAAACATGGCATGCATTTAGAATTCATGTGTAGTGCTGAGGACAAAATGTTTAGAAGAGAGCATCAGGAAACTACAGGTTAAAATGTTTCCCAGTCAAAAAAACATCAGAATTTAATGCAAAATGATTCTATAACCCTTTGTCTTGAGGGTTACTTCTTATAAAATAGATTAGATTTTATCTCTGCCAAAGCCTGTTAAAGGAGAACAGTTTAATACTGTAAAATGTCATGATTAACGCAATTTGCATATTTGCAAAGGAAACTTGACTCCCTATAAGTTCAGCTTGTTGGGGTGGACCTTCAACAACAGAATAACAAGTTGGTCATTTCTTTTGGTACACCATCATCTGTCAGTGCAGGTGTTTTTTTAAAAGCTTTAGTGTAATATTTCATCCTTATTCTGCTTTTCTTTAGAAAGGCAGACCCTCAATCTAAGGACTTCAAAGCAATAATATAAGCTGTCTCCTGCAATACTCATGGAGAGACATAGCAAGCATGTCAATAGCGATTGAACCTACCTAGGTCTGCCCCGGCTGATGCTTATAGTTCCTCATGGTTGTGAGTCTCATCCAAAGGTTCATCTTTCCCTTTCTATCACAGTACAAAGTCTAATTCTTGTTGCATGAGCACTTGGTCATCGAGAACTCTTCTTTCCACAACCCAGTGATGTCTTTGGTGAAGAAAGTTTACTTGTAGATGCAATAAAAAGAAAACCTTTTTGTGAATTTTTTCCCTCGCATACTGTGATATGACTCTGCATTTAATCAGCTGCTGTTGGTTTTCCTTGGATATTTCCCAGCAACCCCATGCCAGGCCCAAAAATAGCTCATGGAGTTAATATTCTCCCACTTGTTTGACAAAGAGCAGTCACAAGTCATTGAACAGATCTTCCAAAACAGTTGGCCAAACTGAGGGAACTGAAAACAACCCATTCCTCATGCTCAGAGTCAAGTGTTTTTCCCAAGAGGGTTTTTATTCTGGCTATAAAAATATAACAAGAGATTTTTGGCTTTAGTTTTTCCAGGACAAGGATATTCACTCCATCAAAAATAGATAAGAAACCAGAACACAGTTAACATCCTTAGGAAGTCAACAATCACATGAAAATGTATGCCTAACTCAGCTCTTGATTAATGTCAAGTGAAACTCGTGGCTCCATAACTAAGAGTTCTGGGCAAAAGTAGAAAACTTTCTAGAGTTGTCACCAGCCATGTTGTAAACACTAGAAACAGTGCCATTTCCCCAGATGAGGCTGCAGCACGTTTTCTAGTCATAGAAGTGCTTATAGTTCAGAAATATCTATTTATGTTGCCCTGTGACTAACTGCATTATATACACCTTGTAGGCAGCAGACAGCAGCTCCACAGCCTGTCGTGTCTCTAGTAAATCACAGTGATCAAAATTGAAATGCTTTTTTCTTTCTGTTTCTTGCCTTAAATGAAGTTTTTGAAGTAAGAACAAAATACCAAGCAAGAGAACTGAAGAAGTAACCATCTTGAGCCACGCACTTAGCCAGCTTACAGCAGCACAGAGCTTTTGCACATATAGGGGAAAGTGCCCATTTGCATAGGCAAAAGAATCTGGTTCACCAAGGTCACACAATTCAGGTGATGTTCCAGTACCACCAAAAAGCTAATGGCTTCTGGTTTAAAGACTTCACTCAAAAAGACGATGCTTGGGATGGCCATTCTGAGACTCTCCCTGTGTCCCTATTGTCTGCAGGAGGGAGGCTGGCAGCTTGATTGAGGTCTTAGCCACTCTACCTTTAGAAAATACTCCTATTTTGGAAAAGGTCCAGAAAGACAATGAAGAAAAATGCAGAAAAGGAAATTAGAGTAGCTTTCCTTTTTTTTCTTAGGCTATTATTTACTTAGCCATTTTCAGCTCTACCTCTGTATTATGGGAATATACAGGGCTATGTGTGTGAATGACTTCTGGGGGCTTTGTCCTGTAAGTTTCCTCTTTTCTGAAAATGGGCCAGTGGGCTTCTTTCTGATTTGCACTGCTTAGTAAGGATGATCCCTACCTTCATCTACCCTGAGCTCTGTGCTCCTGCAACCCCCATGGCAGGCAAAGTTGAGTCTGTCTTACTGCCAGGTTGTGATAGGAAGGCAGACAGGGGACAATGGGGCCAAGCAGGGACTGGCTATAGGTGCCACTGCTCCCCAGAACAGCACAGACCCCAAAAGAGCTCACAAGCCAGTTTTCCTTGAGAAAACTAGAGCAGCACACTTCCTAGAGCCACCAGCAGCAGAAGTGCCTAACTACTTCGACTGATTCATAGCCTGGTGCCTCTGACCCTGGCTTGCAGACAGCATGAATGCTCTAGATAACACATGAAAACATATCTCAGAGTACTGGGAGAGAGTGCTGTGTTATTTCTTATAGTGAAAACCAGTAGCTAGCTTTGTCATAAAGAAAAACTGGCAGCTTCCTGTTTGTGAGCACTCCCTCAGATCTCCTTGCCCTTTTTTCCTGTGTTTGTGGTCTTTTTCTTTCCCCCCATGGGTAAAAAGGACTTTGTTTCTTTGCACTGAACATTAATGATTCATATCTGTAAGGGCTGAACTGGAAAATTTTCTAGATTATACACCTGCCTTCTCTAGGAAGACTAAATGTACCAGCAGTGGGTGGACTTACTCAGGCTCCTATTAAGCAACATCTGTGGGTGGTTCTTCAGTCCAGCTGTTAACATGTGACTTATTTTGCACTTAGATCAACTGTGTCAATGGAAAGAGTAGGCTTTAAGCCTGCTGCTGAAGGCAGTGATTATAATAATTACTGTCACCACAAAATGTCTTTCAAATGCCAGTGGATACGGTGAGAGCCCCACATGCCAGCTGTATAAATGAGATCTTGCTACTCACAGGATGTTAGGTCAAATAATGCAAAGTCTTTTAGGGCAGACATTCACAGATGGGAAATGCCTACCAAGATATTGGCCACAACCAGGGCAGCCACCTGCTGAGTCTTCTACGGATTGACACCTCTCTAAAGAACCAGGAGATGCAACTTGTGCATGTCACACGTGGAACTAGCAAAGTCAGGGTGTAGGGCTGGCAGCTGGTCTCTCCCATAGGGTTCAAAACCTCTTTCCTTTTTACCAAACAAGTAGAATGCACACACTAAGAAAGTCCAGGGTTAATTTGTCACTGACAAAACAGCCTGAAGGGGTATAAAGCATTATTGAAATCCCTGACAGAAGGTAACATGTTGGCAGCCCAGCCTTCTCACTGCTGAGCAGCTGGTTTCATTCTGACTGCTGACACAAGCACCTCAAGAGAAAAGGGACATGGAGGTGGGCATGGTAACCTCTTGTTCCTCTGCATTTGGAGCACATAAAATACAGCTCATAGAGCCAAGTCAAGCTAAGCATACACTCCTCTCTAAAGGTGAACAGGAACAAATGCAGCCACGAATTAATTTAGGCTGAAATTCAGGAAGTTTAGCAGTTATCAAACAAGCACAAAAAAACCCCAAAACTGAGGACAGCAAACTCACCGACCAGACTTAAAATTTGATTGAATTTTAAGAAATGGATGTTGTTCGTAATTAATCAATGAATCTAATTATAGTAATTATAGATTATGTAATTAATTAGCTATCAATTAATCTTTCATTAGCTTGCTTTTAATTACTACCTCTTTAATTAACCAATTTGTGCTTTGTTTGCCTATTTCTGTAGCGCACTACATGACCCAGGAGATTCCTTCTTATCTCCCTCTTTCAATCTCATTTTTCCTGCCCTGCTTTCCACTGACTTCATGTCACCACTTCTTTCTCCCCTGCCACCAGCTCCCCTTCCATTAACACAGTGGACAAGGGCATCATATCAAAACCAGTGCGACAGCCATCCTGGTGACTCCAGGAACACGCCAGGCACAACAGAGGCAGGGAGCTAATGCATCAGCACAAACAGAAGGGTGAGGGGCTTTCCATACTCTCCAGGAGCACAGAGCAGGGACAAGGTGGCTGCCAGCAGCTGGGGTTGTCTCAGGGGATGGGATCCGTGTCCTCTCCCCTCCGACCTCCTCCCAGCTTTAACTGTCTCAGGCATGGGAGGGTGATCACCTTTCAGGCTGCAGTGGCAGAAAGCTCCCTTGGGGAGATACAGGACAGGACCACAGACAAAGGCCTCACACCAAGAACCCCCAACAGCAGCACTGGGGCTTTTCTGGGGGAGTGATGTGCAAGCAAGGGAAGGAAACGGGAATTCAGTGCTGGAAACATCTAATTTCTCCCTCAAGCTAGGGAGACACTGGGTCATGATGCCACACTAGTCTGGATTAGTTTATAGCTAGTCAAGGTCAACTTCAGAGCAGTAGTGTCCAGAAGTTGTTCTCAGAACCAGAGTGTACTCAGAAATGATATTTCTCCCTCTCAGACCTTTTACACATGGAATGTACAAAGCCCGGAGTCACACTGTGGTAAAAACTCTTCTTACCACTTTGCTGTCTTTTAGGTCCTATAGTTGAAGGTCCTCTGGCTCCCACTTTGCTAGGGGTTGATGCCATGCAATATGCTTTCCCACTGCTCAACTGCTGCTCAGAAGGCAGGTTCACGTTTGGGAACAATCCTTTGATATGCTCACCTATTTATGCTTTTTCAAAACATACCACTGCCCTTGTCCATGAAATCTGTGCTCTGACCAGAGGTTTCCTTCATTTCCCAGACTCCTGGCTGGTATTTACAGGCTCACAGAGGGCAACAGACACAAGAAATTTGATCAAGGCAGTAAGGATGCTCATGGCTTCTGCATTTCTGGTACTTCGTTAGCAGTCATCTCAGTAAACATAATGATACCCACACTGTGAAAGCACAAGTGCACTTTCAAGAGCTTTCCATTAATCATTTCTGCTGTCAGAATACCATTTTAATCCTTTCTACACCTACAGAGATGCCAGACTCACAAGTCCTCAAAAAAAAAGAAGTAATAATCACAGTTTAGACATCAACTTAAAGCTAAATGAAGGGTGATGTTTATAAGCAACTCATTTATTGAAGACCAGCATAAAAAGTTGACAAGCAAGAAAAAGCAATTGAAAAGATTAATTTGCCAGGATGAAAGTCCAGAGATGTCCTTGACATGCAGCACCTTGTATTCAAGGATGCCTCAAAAGTGATATGGCTCTAGGAATATTAAGTATTATTTAATTTGTACAGGAGAGAGATACACTGTTTAAAGCAAGACCATGACGCTCTGGGTATATCTACATGTTATTTTTCCTATCAGTGCTCATACTTTTGCATTCAGTTGGGGACAGTGCAACGTAGGGACAATAAGGAGCACCAATCTTAATGAATGTCTTAAGTGAAGTTGTTGAATCTTAATGAAACCCTGAGTGGATACTATTACTTGAAGTGTCTGAATTTAATCTTAGCCTACTTCAAATTAAAAGTTATTTGTTTGGGGGATATTTATTTTAAGGTTGATAAAAAATGTGAAAAGGAAACTTACCAGAGGAAATTCTCATTTCTCATTGTAATGGGTGTTTTTTTTAACAAATGTCCCAGGCTGTTTTTCTAAGTTCTGGGTTTTATTCAGGATAAGTTTATTAGTAGGAATATACTTCTGCATAATTTTTATAACTGTTAAATTCACTAGTTTCCAGATGAGTAGTCAGCACCACGTTTGCTTTGAACAAATTGTGGTGTTCCAGTGCAAACACTCCTCTACTGCATTGATTCTAGTTTGATTTGTATTGAGAAATTCCTGATGGAAACTAAACATGTAATAACATAGTCTTGCTATAGTCATTTTTCTGATAACAATCACTCCTTCCACAAGCACTAAAGAAAATTAAATACTGCAGCAAATGAACCATGCAAAATGATTTTCCTACCACCAGTGATGACAGGAATCATTTAAAACAGTTTTAAATGATTCATTGTATGTGTATAATGGCACATGAGGAGATTGCTCCAGTGTGAGAGATCCATTGTGGCTCTCTTATTTATTATTATTTAAAGATTTGAGGAGCATCTCTTGCCACAGTGGTTAGGTACTTATTTCCTCATTAAAGTTGATACATTAAATACACTTGGAAATACCTACCCACACTGCCTGCAATTATGAACACTGTCATTTCATCAGATTGCATAGAAATTCACAGTGAAACAATAATTCCTCAAAACCTAAACCCCCAGCATCCTATCTACAGCTTAAAATCTGACAGACTCAAACAGTGACAGAGAACTTCAGAGATCTCAAGTTCACTAGCAGCCATACACAGCCTTATGTGCCAACTCAGATAGCAACCTTGAAGCTGAACAAACAGGAACTTCACCATGTCTTAAATAACAAAAATGGATCCAGTCTGAGGCTTCTTTCTTACATTACCACTGGGCTGTGAATTCCACAGCTGTTATACCACTGGGTCTAACACAGCTTTGCACAGGAAACCAGGTAATCCTATCTGAAGCTTACTGCAGGATACAGTCTTTGCTTTACATAAACTGCATCAGTCATTAGGACACCCTTAACCACTGCTGCATATAGGCCCCAAAGATGGGTGCAGGGATGTTGGGACCCTTCTGAGAATAGTTCAAGCCATTTTACTCATTCATCAAAAGTGAGTAGATTTAAGACACAAGGGATGCTAGATCAAGCATAGAAGCCCTGAGGCCCTTCTGAGGCAGGTAAAGGCTCCTTTGAGACTATCATAAAGAATAAGCTATATTCAAAGTTTTTCTCCATGGAAAACCAGCTGAGCAGATTCAGAACCAACCCAGAAGACCATGAAGCAGACAAGTGATGAGTTTGGCCTCAAGCCACGAAATCACTCTCAAATGACATTGTGTGCAGAGATGTTATCTCCTCCTCTCCTTTTGAACTAGTTCCACTGAGAAGGAAAGCTCTTAAAGATTCATTAAGCTATAAAGAGAGCAGAAGAGACAGGCTAGAGATCAGAACACTCACCTGGGAGTGAAAAATCTTGGGTAGCACATTGTGCTTTAAGGTCCTCAGAAGACAGTGTGTTTAACAGAAGTCCTTAACTCTGTCCAAGGCTATACAGGGTCTTCAGGTCTACAAAAGATTTATTAATGCAAAAGCTGTCAAAACATGATGATGAAAATGAACACTAAATAATTCAGCACATATATTTTCCTGCTAATTAAAGATCATAATCAGAAGTGGTAATGATTTTTGCAATCATGAGTTAAGTGTGTGGAAGGAAAAAGAACTCTCAAAGGGATTTTATTAGAGTCAGTTCTGGGGTGTTGAAACAAGGCTGAAAGAAACAGAACATAAACAAATGTTAATTAATCAGGCATGCTGATAGCACAGTATCTGCATTTTCATAAAATTCCAGGCAACTCTGTCATTCCTTGTGCAAGACCTCCTGCATAGACTCTGTCCTCCCAATAAATTCTGTCACACTTGATGAATTTCTGAAGCTGGGTAAGGATCTGATCATATATCAGGAAGTTCAAAGCAAGTGATTTTTTTTCTACAGCAACCCAGTTTAACATCAAGATAAATAAAAGATTCCTTTGATTGTCTGAAGTGGATGTCTAGCTACAAAAAAAGCATTTCTCTCTGTTTTAGTTAGACATGCCATCACCCTACAAAATATCCTTGTAAGGGAAGGGCATGGATACAGGGAACCTGAAGAGAAAAGGTATGTCTTTCCTTATCTTTGGCAGGTTTTGTTCAGGGTAATTGTTCACTACAGTGACCATGAAGAAAACAAAAGGGTAGTTAATAATCCTTGTCATTCAGCCCTTGAATTTATCCTAAAACAATAACATGGCAACAGACCAAAGAAGTATTTGCTGATACCAGATGTACATGATGAAATCCTGTAAGCTCCGTAGAAAGAGGCAGACCATTCTCCTTTCTATGTATCTATAAACTAGGCTCTTGTGAAAGGGACCATTGCAATTTACTTCACTTAAGAACATGTCAAATGGATCCTGACGCACTTTATGGGTTATAACACTCTTCTGCCTTTTTCTATTCAGGTCCATGCTTGTTGTGGAGTGCTGCCTGGCAATGCACACAACTCCTATGTGTAGATATGGACTGCTGAAGGGCAACTACTGACTGCAAATTATAGAGAGTTTTCCAAAACTACCTACAGATGAGAGGGAATTATACTTGTGCAGAACACTGTTACCCAACTTATCCTTGGAGCATAACCACAAAGAATGTTTTCAGCCATCTGGGCTTGCTAGCATTTCTTGCATGTTCAAACCTGAAGCCATAAGTCCCTATGCTCCTACACAGTTGTATCAGACTCCATGCCTAACAGCAGTGTCCCATGAGTACACACAGACACCCAAACCCCTCAATTAACCTATTCTTGGAAAACCCATTCCTGTTTTTCAGTTCCCCTCTGAAAATCAGACTCAGGCTTGGCTGGATTATGACTTTTTATAGATGAAGGCCTGAGATGACAATGCACCCTGCAAACCCAGACTGAAAGTGCCACCCGTAGGGAAAAGAAATAATAAATAAATAAAGAAATAAATAAACCTAAACCCAAAAGCTAGTTGTCTTGTTCTGCATCATTACTACTGTTTGGTACTGTTCTGCATGCTAGTTTTTCCTGCTGTTCACAAGTAGAGATCTTTTAAAGAGTACTTAAGGTCAATTTTCAAGTGATTAACAGATCATGAAGAATTCATATGCAGCTTTATTATTTTTCTTTTCTGTTTATGTAAAATCTTAATGAAAGCAAATCCAAAATTTCATCTTGTCAGACAGAATTTTGGAAAAATTAACAAAGATCTTCTCTGGTGTTTTGCTTGGGTTGTGTTTGCTTAAGAAAAGAAAAATTGTTTGACACCAAGGAAATGATATACGTTTCTGCAAAAGTATTTCCTTCTTAGTCATCCAGGATGAACTTCAATTGAAATGCTATGAAAGGTGGAAGGAGAAAGAGTTTAAATGGGCAGAATGAAAATAGGATTGAGCTATAGTGTATGTTTTAAGCTTACTCATCTATTAGTTTTCAGAAGCAGAATATATCAAATAGGAAGTTTTTTCATTAAAAATCTGCAAAGCAGCATGCATTACATCAAAGTCAGGTAATTTTGGGGTAGTTTAATATCTTGATTCCTTATTATCTAAAATGGACCTGATCCAAATGCAATAGAGACTGACTTCTTTATTGCAAGAAGCTGGCATATTCATTTCAACCCAATGTAAAATGAATGCAAATCAGTGCTGTTGTGAGAAAACAGATTTTCAGCATGTTTTAAAAGAAAAACTGGTCTGGAAGGGATCCTGAGTTGTCTTCTGTTTCTTTCTACCTCAGATCAACACTACCTGAATTATTCCTTGCTGATGTTTGTCTTACTTAGAAATGTTCTTAATAAAACTCCAGTGATGGAGTCAGTCAGTAGTAACGACAAAATGATTGGGAAAGTTTACCAGTTTTCATTATTTCTTAATTGTTTTGAAAGTCTAATCATTGTATTGCCTATAATCTTGACAGAAAAGATGCACCTGGGGAATTGCTAGAGGATATTAATTGTGTTGTCATACCACTTTTGCACTGATTTGCAGAAATAGTCTCACAGCTAAAATGCTGAAAACCGGATCTATTTCCTGATTAATCCTGATGCCTCCCGGTGATATTAAAAGCACAGTGACAGGCCACTCCTTCCCAAGACACAGTCACTCTTCCAATCAGCCTCAAGTCAAGGGAGTAAGAAAGGAACATGCTCACCCACAAAGGTCTGAGCCATAAGAACCTGCCAAAATAACGTCCTACAAATGCTACAAAAGAGAGTAATACTAATTCCTCCCTTCAAAGCTGCTGTTTTCCCAGTATTCCTTGTACACATTGGCAGTCCCATTCACATTGATTGGGGTACAGAAATCAATGGCACAGCAAAATAGCTTTTAAGGCATTTTATCAGCAAAGAAGCAGTGTTTAACTCTTTTCTCATTCCACAAGATAATGCAGTATTTTCTTTCACAGCATTCACTGAGGCATCTAAGGTGTAACGTTTCCAGGGCAAGATCATTTTATCTTAACTAAGAATCAATACTTGTTACTTAAAAGTTTACAATTTGCTGTCAGCTAGTAAGAATAGAAGATTGAACACAAAAATTGACAGAGAGGCTGATTGCACTGATGTAGTTGTAAGTTGTATAGATTTGTTGACAAAAGTCTAGGATGGTGCTTGCATCTTATGAGATTTTGTGGGTCTCTTAGGCTTCACATGCAGGTGACAAGAAGGCATGTGGTAAGGATAGAAATAATTCTTGGTGGTAGAACAAAAGATAGTGCAGTGCCAAGTCACTGTTTTAGTTATCACATGCTATAAGATGGTAAAACAGGCAGATGGTAGCACTGGCTTCATTGCAGTGTAAAATTAGCTATACGGGCTAAAACTGAATGCTATGAATGGAGCTAGTACCGCTCACCTCAACTTGGACTAAAAACACATTGTTCAGGAGCAAATGTTAGGTAAGAAAGAATGTGCTCAAACGCACTATAGAGATGTAGTTAGACACTCCCCATAGTCTTTAACAATACAGCAGTTGTGGGTGGGAGCACTGATGCATGCACAGGTGCTGTTATGTTACTATTTATCTTTACATCTGTAAGTCTACCCAGTGTTTTTTGATATGTTTCATTGTTGGTTTTTGTCCTGAGAAATTGCTTTTGGGATGTTCCAAATTGCCCAGTTCCTTCACTGAATAGCATGTTTCTCTTCAATTCAGAGAAGCAATTTGCTGCCCACTCCGCTGTTACCATTGGAGCGTTGTCCATTACATGGCTGGGACATACTTTTCTTGACATCGGTAATATCGTTTGCTTTCTCAAAAAGGAAGGTGCTAATCAAGCTCCATTGTCAATGACTCTCCCTGAATGACGCCTTTCCATCCTCACTGCTTCCTCACAACACCCTACAGCTCTTTCACTTGCAGGAACCCACTTTCTTCACGGTAGAGCTCTCTTCTCTGAAAGAGACTTTTTGCCACTGTTCTACTAGATGAAAGTTCAGGCAGGTCTTTGGGAAAAGCATAGGAGCTTAGTTGAGCAAGGCTGGGAAAACCACACCTTGCAATCAGGGAGTAACGTTGGAGACGCATGAGTACGGAAAAATCCTACCATGACCTTGATTTTTCCACATATTCTAACAAAAGTATTTACCTTCTCAGGCATCTGGGACAAGCAGGCTGTGGTGGCACCCTCAGAAATATGTCTCATTCCCCTTTCTGGAACTGGGCAGCCACAGTGAAGCACAAAAAGACGTGGAGCTGGCTTTCATGGCCTGAAAACAGTTCACCTGAAATGCTTTTACTCTAATGAATAATGTTTTACTTAAGGTAGTTGTCCAGTCTTTAATTACCTCTTTCATTACTTCCTAGGGAACTAACTGAAACCAAATCACATTCAGTGAATTTAAATTGCTTGGATCCAAGAGGCTTTTTCTCTGGGCTGTTTCAGAGGTCTGGTACTTGCTGTGGAAGTTATCCTGTAAGAACAAAACTGGTGTGTGCTTCCCAGGAACCGAACCTTCTGATTACTGCAGCTCTTTTTCCATTTGATCACTAGATGAAGACAGCAGAATCAAATGTAGAATTCAGCTTGACACTTGCTGTGTGTACATAAGGTCTTTACCAAGAAGCTCAACCCACTGCTTGCAAATGGACATTGTGTTTTCCTTTTATGAGATCCCCTGTACCTCCATTGTCTCCTCAACTATAGTATCCTCTCCAAATTACTGTTGATCCCAAATCACACTAACGTGAATATTTCCTCTTCCTGAATGGCAAGTGCTTAAGCATTTTAGGGATTGTGGGTTTTAATTCAGTGACTGCAGAAAGTGGAGAGAGATCAGGGTTTTGCCCCAGGTTCAAATCTGAAGACAGAAGTTTGGAGGGCAGTTCCATCTCATGCTGTTGAAGTGCTGAAACCTGGAGTGTCTAGGAATGCATCATCCTTTCAACCCTCCTACAACTCCAGATGCCTACATGTCACACTTCAGTTAAACAAAACAACTGTTCAAGGGGACACCACATCTCAAGAAGGAGGAACAGCTTCTACTTTCCATCATCCTCCTTGTTTTGCACCAATTTCTTTCTTGGCTTCATACAGGCAGCAGCCAGAAGAGTTTATATTGTGACTGAAGTATGCCCAGCTTCTCTTGCTTGGCTGAACAGAACAGTTCAGTCTGACCTCACCGTTGAAGCCAATTAAGCAGCAAATTCTCCAAACACAGCATTACTGATAGAAATGCATGTTTCTTCAGAAGGCAACTATTACTACCCACTGCTACGAACAATGCTTAACTAGCAAGGGGATGGTTTATAAGGTCCGGGTCCTTTCCACAGGTATTACTCTACAATACTCAGTGGAGACATTTACATTGGCCATAAACACGCACACACATGCACAAAAGAAAAAGAAGAGCAAACAGATTTCGTGGTTTACCTGCACAGATAGTGAAAAAGGTGCCTGAATGGAATGGGTTGCTCTCCTGTGATGTGACCACAATATGGGGCAGAGGAGGCAGCAGGAGGTATCAACTCCTCTTAAAAGAAGGCAAAGCTCAAGTTCTCAGGACCAGTGAAAATATTCTTGATGATGTTATAAGAAAAGCAGGTGAAGAATAAATACATAAAACCACTCGTGCCGTGAATGATTCTGCTGAAAGATTCAGACCCTGCTGCTTAGTCTCATGTTAATACAGAAAGCTTGCAATGTACCCTGTGGCAGTCCACTAGCAGAAGGCAGGCTCTCAGAGGCAGGTTTGTGCAGCCAAGGATCAGTTCTGTGATTTTGGTGAGCTAGCAAACATCACCAGCCCAGCAGGAGCCCCTCTTTAAAGGCAGGGAGAGCAGCAGGGACTCCAGGCTGCAGCAAGGTTAGCATCAGAAAGCACATGCTACCAGCCTCTGGCATATGATCTGTCTGTCAGTGGGCTGGAATACCAACAATGCAGCTTTCTCTATCTCACAGCCAGTGAATGCAGTGGGTTTTGGAGTAGACCTGAACCTCCTTGCATGTGGCACATGGGTCTTCTTTAGTGTGATTGAACTTTCTGAGTTATCCTGCTCACAAGCAAAATTCGGATGTTAAATCCAATTTGACTCTCAGCCACACACAGCTCTTACAGACTTCAGGACTGCACTTCTGAGTGCTGGGAAAAGAATAGTAAAGACTTGGCTTAGAGAACAATAACACAGCCACCACTCAGTGGTAAATCATTACAAGAGGCTGACATGACCCTGGTTCACTGGGTCTGAAATAGGGCATTAAACATTCCTGTAAACTGCTCACTTGAATTAACAAAAGAGAGTGAGAATGTGGAGGCTGAAGTTAACAATAACTGAAATCTTTCTTAGGTGCATAGACCCAGACCCACGACTATTTAGGCACTTAGCTCCCATGAAACCACTGGGATATAAATGTTGTGGACCTGATCGTCAGGGTCATGTTAGTATGTCTGGCACGGTTTCCTCCAACTTTCCTTGTGCAAATTCAAAGCTATGCTAGAGCAATAAAAGGTGCCACTGTGGTGTAAAATGATAGTGAAGGAAAAGATATTGGCCCTGAGGTAATTGCCCCCCCAATTGATAGCTCATTTCTAGTAGTATCTTGACCAAGAAGAGTGTGCTCTTTCCCCACTTAGAAACCACAGGTCAGACCTTATTCTAGAAGGTAAATTAGAGCTTGTTTTAAAAGGTGAGTTCTGACATGCTTTTATTTCCTGAAGCCTGAGAAAACACAGGTTGCCAAACACTGCCTGAGTGCTTTCTTAAGCAGACAGCTCTGAAAACTCAAGATCTGGTTCCCAAAACCCTTATATGGTTGGTCTCCCTTAATGGGTCTCCCTGAATGTAAGCCAGAACAGAAGTTTAAGCCACCACTGAGAAAATGAATTGTTTTAGTGGAATTAGAAGTGTTAGGAAATCCTTTTCTAGTTGTCAAGATACACAATGAGGAACCAAGGACAGAGTAGAAAACCAAAAGCACAAGAATTCCCACATTCACGGTGCCATTGAAAGGGCAGTGTTTGGCATCTGGGTAATATGCTACATTGTTCGCTGAATAAGACAAATGTGGAAGATACTATTACCTGTACAAAGGAGTAAAGCAGTGGCACTGATCTCCGTCCCCCAGAGAATTGCACAGCAGCAAGGACCAACATAGTAGGTTTCCAAACCAGTGCAACTGCAAAGAATTACCTGCAGAGGGCATCTACCCCCTTAATATCACACCCTCGGACATGACAAGGATTTGATTCTTTCCTCATTTAAATTCCTTTCAGGGGGAGTACTGCCAACTCTTATAGACACAGTGTTTACTGACTGAAGTTGTCATTTTTCAGCCTCTCAAATGTCAGTGAGAGAGTTAAGGAAAAGGCTAGTTTGTTTACAGACATTTTTAACATGATGAGGGAGAGCAGCCAGCATAAGAAAGTTCATCTTTCCTACCCATTCTCATGTCCTGTAATCAAAATTGGAATCCACTAGATTTATCCCCAGGAAGATATGTAAGGTTTTGTAAAATGAGAACAGTAATCAGGTCATTCGGATGTTCTCAGTATCTGCTAGTGACAGCAAAAATCCAGGAAGAATCCGCATGCTCTGAGCATATCCAAAAGAGAGAGATTACTCCATCAGTTTAGTGGTTGTGCTTAACAGCCTGCTGGAGCACAAAGTGCCCTTTGCAGTGCCACGGCAAGTCTGCTGCATAACCTCCACTAGGTTAAGTGCAATCACACAATGGCTGAGAAGAGTTGTCATCTTTGTGGTCAGTAGAGCCAAACATTGGAAATCTCAGCATAGCTCAGATCATCAGCTCCCAGTGACTGGCATAAGGGAATGCCAAATGCTGCTCTAAACCTCAGAAATTGGCTAAATGCAGGCCTGTGACCCAAGGAAGCATTTGTCCATTCTTTTACCATCTGCACAGATGCATACACACACACACACACACATACGAACGCAAACATACTCTGCTTTCTATGTGCTCATCTGCATGCTGGACTCCAGATTAGGTAATTGAACTGAATAAATATTTCATCACCCATCCTGCTTAGAGGAGGAATGACCTGTCCTAGCTCCCAGGGAAGTTAATGGAAGTTAACACTAATCTGCTATTCTCAAGAAGTTGGGTGGGATATAAGACCGGCAGATGGATTCAGAACCTCATTAACTCCTTCTCCAGAAAAGCACTCTCTCTGAGCAACTTGCAGGGATGAAAAACACCCTCAGAAGTTGTTTTTTAAGTCACTTAAAAGAAGAAACTGCAAGTGAAAAGCACATCTGAAAGTGCTGTATAATTTTGAAGACATACTGGTTAGTTTTGGTTCATTAGTGCCTTTTATATTGAAGGACTGCTCTTTACAAGTTGAAGTATCGTCTGTGCACCAGGATCCTTTCACGTGTCAACCAAATGCAGCAGTTTAATTGAATTCATGTACTACAAATGAGACTTCAGGACTGAAATTAGGGCAAACTACTAGGCATGATGAAAAGTGAAGAAATCAGGTTATACTTTCACACACAACTGCAGCTTTAGGAGCTGAGCTGATCTGTCAGAGGAAAAATTCTGATGTCAAGTGGAATCGTATGGTATGAATGGATTGACAAGTGTTTACAACCATTATTTGACATGAACCAGTGAAACACGTAAGCTCCCAGGGAGGGTGGAAGTACAAATATGTCTCCTGGAAGCTGCTTGCCACCAGCTTCTGCTAAACCTACATGGATTCCTTTACCAGACCTATGTCCTGAATCATGGCAGCACAGAAAGTCCTCTCCCTAACTTTTTTTCCTTATCGTTCCAAAGTGGTGTCACTTAATTTCTCGCCTTACAAGACTCAAGGCAGACATCAGAATTTCTCTTCTTGATCTTGTCTTTTATTGGGAGCAAGAACTCGGGAAGATCATGTAGTTCAATGATCATCATGAATTGCATAACTTCTGGTAGCAGCAAAACATGTATCTATTTCAGCTCCCTCTGGCAGGACCCATGATTTCCAAGCTGGAGTCCATGTACTCAATTCGTTGTGATGAAGACTCTTAGAGCAAACCAAAGGCACCCAACTGTGAGACATTACTGTTCTATGCCCAGAAATTAAGAAACTGTAGGATCTACCAGACAAAAGAGATGTTGTTTGCTGAACCGCAACAACTCAAGCTGCTTAATTTCCATCCTGAATTCTTCTTGGAAGCCAGCCAGCATCTCTTTATATCACAGTTACTCAAAACACTTGCATAGAGAAAATGATACTGGAATATGATACACAAAGTCCTTGCTTACAAATCAAACTACACGTTTTGAAAGTGAGAAGGGTATCCTCATGTTGTTTGAATGATTAAACCAAAAGGAGTAAATGCAGCAGACATAAAAACTATATATTTTAGAGACTAAGACATACTGGATTTGCCCTGCTTCATACACTGAAGTCACTGGGACAAGATTGAAGGGCTTTCTTTTGCAACATCCTGATCCAAGCAATGAAGAAGCTGGAGGCTGACACAGCAGTTAGTTACCTTCATTTAGGGTAGTACATAACTAGGTGCATTGCAGATTGCAACATCCTCTCAAACAATGTGGATCCAAAGGCAGAGATTTTAATGCAGACCTGTTACCCTCTACCTGCATTGTCCTTGTTAGTGTCAAACAGTAGCTCCTGAATTAGCTATCTCTGGGGAGCTTAGAGCAATTCATCTTAAAACAAAAGCCTGATATTGTGCTTATTCTACCTTCCTGCCATACTGCTGGATTCTGGGATAACACGGTTGTCCTGATATTTAAAGTCAATTTTGGATGCAACACACTCATCATTTTGTCTAAATAAGGATTTTCACAGATCTGAAAAGAGGCATTCAAAATCTTTATCAGGTATACTTGCTTGTCTGACCTGTATCTTGGATACTTAGTTACATACCTTGTAAATATGTATGCTGATACCTTTGCAGTCTTGGTCCAATGATGATATTCCTTGGTTTTAGTGGATGGAGCCTGTTGTGAAATACAGCACACAGTGTGGCAGAAGAAATTCTCTCCTCTGATGGAAGGAAATGGTACAGAAAAACAGGTGGTTACAACTGCATTAGCAAAAGTGACACGTTAAACTTTAAAAACCTTTCCATCACTAACCATTTACAGTACTGACAACTGAGAGTTCTTGCATAGAACATGCAGCTACCTTTGCAACAGACTTCTGCCACAACACAGATATAGACAAAACCAAGCTTTTCATCTTGATCACTAGCGGACTCTAGTTCTAACACCGAGACAGTGCTGATCTCCGCATAGGGAACAAAGGATTTTTGTGGTTTATTTGTGGCTGGATTTTTGGTGTTGGGTGTTGTTTGGTCGGTTTGGTTTTGTGTTTTTTTGTTTGTTTGTTTGTTTCCTTGCTTGGTTTGGTTGTTTTTTTTTTCTTTTTTAAATGAAATTGTATCAGGACAAAGCAAAGTTATCTAGATATGCAGAAAAAGTGCTTGGTGAACGTTCTGCTTTCTCCCATTCATGATAATCAGCAAAGTTTTCTGGGTAGTGATTTGCTGAGTGACAATCAACAGACAACATTGGTCATGTTCAGTTAAGTGGTCCACACAGAACTTAGCAGTCTATAGAGGCTCATGCTGCCTGTTGGATTTGGGATTTATACTTTACACTAGTGTTACACCAACATTCATTGGCAACTCTTGTCTATACAAGGAATGAAGAGCAGTAGTCCCTGTTGCTGGTTCTAGATCCTCTGGGAGGACTTTGGGAACATAGCTGTTGACGTCTGTGGGAGCAGGATCATGCCCTATGACCTTACCAAGTTTCCTATGCTCCTTGTTCTCGCCTCATTTAAAAGCCACTTACAAAACTTTATTCAGACTTTCCAAATAATTTTGCTTTTGAATATAACCAGGCATGGGAAAATTTCTCTTCATAATGGGAAGTTTTGGAAAGTTGTATTTGTGCAGGAAAAAAAAAAAGTACAAGGTGGTATAATGCAAGCTGTTACAAACCTTCACTCTAGCCTTTCTGTTAGCAACTGTTGCAATGACAAAAACAAAGCCAGAGAACTATAGGAAAGGGATACTTGCAGGTATGAAGGAGGAGTATCAGAAGGAAGTCATTTATAGTTTTTGTGGGTTGGAATTTTTCTGTAGCAAACATGTTTGTTAGACTGTATGGGGTAACATTTTGACTGGGTGAGAGGAGCAGATGCATCATGCACAGTACACAGCTACCTGGGAATAAAAGGAATTGGAGTCAGTGACATGAGAGGTTTTTTCCATTGCTATGCATCTTGCTTGAATAGGCAGCAGTTAGCATGCTGGGTAACCTATAATACCATTGGTTAGACAGGAGGTAAAATTAAGGCCACGCATTTGATCTTCAAACACTAAGATGTTCAAGTTCTTATGGCTCAACACTGACTAATATAAATGGCCTTGGAGAAAACAGTATTTCATCTCCAGCTGGGGAATTTTGATGGCTATTTGAAGAGTCTTTTTCCCATTTTTTTTTTGCTTTTCTTTAGGGAGTAGGACCTTATCGTGCTGCAGTATTTATTTAACTCTTTTAAAGTGGCTTCTTGCAGTTTTCAGGTTTGCTTGAGATTTAAAAATGTTAAAGAAAACAGTGTAAAGCCTTTTATGCTCTTGTCAGCATGAGAAGAAAAGTCATTAGATTTAGAATTCTAAATTGGAAGATATATCAAGGAGAAAACAGGACACTATTCTAAAGAAAAAAGGATGCTTACATCTTCTTGGAAGGCCTGTGAAAAAAACTAAAAGCATTCCTCATACACAAATGCTTTAATACGCTATGAATGGATCTTTTAAAAGTTCATCTGAGTTGAATCCAGGCTTCAAATTCCAACCTGAGGTGACTTTGATTTCTTTGTAATTTACATTTAAACAAAAATCTTTTTATGTTCTCCTGATGTAACAAGAATGAAAGAAAAAGATTAAAAATATGCAGCTGCGAATGCTTTTGACCCTGAATCTCTTCAGCCCTGTTTTCAAAGAAAATCTAGCCAATGCTCTTATTCAAGTGGTGCAATCCACAATTTAGACAGTAACAGGAGCTCCAGCAATACTGTGTTTTTTATATATATCGCTGATTTTTTTGTCATTACCTTTTTCTTGCTAACTCAGACTTTCTTTTCCACCAGGACCAAGTAGAGTGAAGGGAACTGAAGTTATTATTCTGGCCCTGCAAGCTCTCTTTCACTAGTTTCCCACAATGGCTAGAAGCTCGCATATTGGCTTCATATCACAGCAACGCAAATGGCCCAGAAGCCCTCAAACTCACCCTGAGGCAGACAATGTTCCCTCTCCTGCTCCACCCAGCTGCAGTGGGGATGTGGTGTGAGGTGACAAGCCCAAATTCCAGCTCCCACATTTGCAATGAAGGCAGCATGACCCCACTCCTAAGCTATCAACATCGGCCCTGAGTTCTGCTCCGTATGTCCCATTAGAGCTTCTAACCTTCACCTTTCAAAATAATTAGCATAACACTTTGCCATGTTGAGGCAATGTGTAAAAAGGCAATCCTTTAAAGGTTAGAAACACCATGTTCATCATCTCAACATTTCGCTGATTGTTGCAGTCTAATCTCAGCCTGCGCACTTCTCTCCAGGAGTAAAGATATAGGATGGGATTTCCTTGCTGGAGGTGCTATGTCACCTGACTTTGATTGCCAAAGAGTCCTTATTGCTCCAGTCCTGTACTTCATCATAATGTCATAGCCAAAATAAAGTGCTCATAGATGAGAAAGGAGACGTGGTGCCTGAAGAAGATGATTTTTCTCAAGTCTTACTGTGCCTGCAGCTCCTCGTTAGCTACTAGGTCATATCCACCTGATGGAAGGACCTGACACAGACCTGATTTGATTCCTGACTTCAGATTTGATTTGAACTAGACTTTAACTTAAGCTAACACTATCGGTCTAACCCAAGTCTTTCACTGAATCTGTAGGAAACAGTTTGAACAATGCAAAGCTTCGGCTGCTGGCCAGAAACAGAAAACATGAAAGTAACATAATATTGCTTTGCTTCAGTTTCCTGCAGCAGTGACATGAATAGACGACTTTTCCCGTGGAAGAAGCCAACTAAAGCAATGAATCAGGAGTCTCTATAGAGCACATTCCCAGAGGAAACTGCAGACCAACATCAACTGGCCCTCTGGTTCAGACCAAAATGGAATGGTGATTTTGATGGGGTTATAGCTGGATTCAATTAAAAAGTTTTCTCTGTTATCTGAGCATAATATTGTCCCACATACCAAAAGGCCCACTGAATCCCACTAACCCTGAAACCTTCCTGGACAGTTTGCTCAATCAGGGGCAGGGCCTGGCAGTGGAAATGCAAGGGAATTTATTTAATTTCCTTTGCCAGTGTATTGCAACATAGAAAACTAAAAAAAATTAAAATAAAAAAAAATAAAAATACTCCCAATATTTCCCCTTTTATTTCAATGGATAATAACAGTTTTGAATTCTGATGATTGTTATCATAGGGCTTTGGGATATTTGTAGAAACGAATTTACTTGAAATCTAAGAATATGGTTTCTTTCTACCTGTCCTTTTATACCTTATTTCTTAAAAGCTTTAAAAGAACTTTGCTTTTGAAGTTCCTTTTGAATTTGCCTTGAAACAAATTTCACTTTCTTCTCCTACCACATGTATGGAAAAAACTTCCAGAATTTAACAGTTACTTTCTGTGGTCATTCTTGCATGTTTAACTCTGTTGGTTTTATGATGTTAACATTAAAATCAAAAGCTTTTATTTTTTAAATATATATTAATATAGGTGTTTTTAATTGCACTGAGGTAGAGCCTAAAAGCAAACAAGCTTTAGCTTGAAAAGAACCAAAACTTCTTTTACCTGCTATTTTGTGTGTAACAATAGCCAGTAGGAGATCCTTGATTAAGGAGCATTTGGAACTAGACATTACATTACGAGGGACTCTGTCATTGGAATCTCATCTCCAGAGTTTAAGTTGCAGCTCCCTGTGGGAATATACACCAGAAAAATGCACAGATCTGTGCTTTATTCTGTCACTGTCCACTGGGAAAGGTCTTCACTAATTTAAATTCTCTGGAGGATTCAGAGAATTGAAGGGAAAGCAATGTCCTTGGAGGGGTTTTCTCAGATGCATGGAGTAGCTACTTTATCATACCAGGAACTGCACTTACATTTGATAAGGTATTATTAGAGATGTCTTAGATATTAAATATCAGATACATTACAGGCAGTTTGTGCATAGACACTAATCTCCCACATCTCATCCTTCATGTTTTACACAGGCCTAGCTTTCCTCCCACCTGAACCCCTCACCTTAGGGAATATCCTAAGTCATTCAGAAGGAAGCCCTGGATTTGTGTACAAGATTAGCTATCTGCATGTACATCTGACCTGACTAATGGAGATACCGGGACATACCAATGATAAATTTCATGTGTCACTAGTGAGGTATCGTGGGGTTTTGTAACATCTATGATTCTATCTCCATTTTTTTCTAGAAAGCCATCACCTCATCTGTCACATACACGGATTTTGTCCCAGCTTCATGAAGACTGTGATATCGTTGTTTCTTTTAAACACAAGCCTTTTTTTAATAGAAAATGAAGGTGTTCTTGGATTACAAGCAAGATTGATTTTTTCTTAAAAATAAAGTACAAATTGAAGTGGAAATGTTTCAAAATATGAAAAGTTTCAAAAGTACTATTGAAGAAGCAGGGACAAAAAAAAACCCAACAAAGCAGTTATTTCTTTAAACCGTATATTACATAAAAGTTTTAAAACAAACTTTAATAAACAAAGAATTGATTCACAGTAGGGAAATGACTGCCTTTAAGGTGAAAGTTAATAGAATAAGGATTACTGTGATATTACTTCAATATGTAATAGCAATCCACGTTTATGGATGGACTAATTAAGGTACTGAAAGAAAATATCTGACATTCAATAGAAAATACGAAAGTAAATCAAGGGAAGTGTCTGAGAAAGGGATGATGAATAATCAACTTCTTTGAGGTTGACTCCAAATCCTTTT